CAGAAAACTAACCATGCCTCCCTCACACTGACCGTCAGAATACCAACCACGCCTCCCTCACACTGACTGTGAGAAAACTAACCACGCCTCTCCCTCACACTGACCGTCATAAAGGACCCTTGGGATTGCGAATGCCACTCCCAAGGTCCAGGGGTAGACGTGGGAGCAGACAAGTGCACTCCCCACAGGTGGGGGAGGGCCCAGCCTGAGCTCCGGAGAAAGCAGCCGGAAGGACAGTTGGAGAAAGAGGAGGTGCGAGGGGCGGGGTCCCTCCCCCATCCGGTGCCCAGGGACTCACTATGGATCTCGATGACCTTCTCCATGGAGCGGACGGCGTTGGCATTGGATCGCTGCTGCAAAGTCCTCTCTGGGAGGGGGTCCAGCTGCAGAGGAAGAGCATGGTGCTCAGCAGTCCCCGTGGGTGGGGGTGCACAGTCTCCTCCCAGACCGAGTCGGACCGCCTGCCAGTGGCACTTCCAACACGGAAGAGAACCACCACCCAACAACCTGTGTGTGGCTCACGATGTCCTGAGTGCCGCCTTCTGCAGGGGAAGGCTGAGGAGGAAGGAGCCAGCGTGCTGTCCAACCCCCATGCCACAGCGCCTCCTGAGGGGGCACGATGGCTTTTTGGAAATGTCGCTTTCCCACCCCTGGTCTTGTAAATGAAAATGCTTCAAAAGCCGCTGACTGTGGTTCCCTAGTGATGGGGACAAAGGGAGACGCGAGGGGAGCGTCTGCCAGCCCCAGGCCCGTGTATGTTTGCCCGAGCGCTGGCGCCAGCTGAGCAGGAATCACGGGCAAGTGACGTGCAGGAGGCGTGGCCCAGCCAGCGTCTGGGGCCCAGCAGCCCCAGCACTGACTGCAGGGGCCCCAGCACAACGGCGGCATGGCCACTGGCCTGCAGAAGCAGGGTGGGTGCAGGTCTGGCTCACAGCTCACGTCCGGGCTGGACAGCGTCAGGAGGAGCCTGGGTGGGGCCAGAGTGTGGGCGTGGGGAGGAGCCACGCTCAGGGAAGAGACGCCACAGCGCCCCACAGATGATGAACAAGGAGCATCTGCCCAGTTCTACCCGCTGCTGGTAGGAGGGCCAGGGCACCTGTCGGGAGCAAAGGCTGGCCCCCCATGATGTGCACCTCCCAGCCAGGCTACGGTCAGTCAGTGCTGCGCGTTAAGGCCCATGAGGTATGAGTTCCCAATCAAAAAAGCCAAGAACATGTAAAAGGCCGGGATGAACCCCTGCGGGAGAGACAGACAGACTCCTGACACAATTGTGGTGAAAGGCACCAGGGCTCTTCCTGGAAATGGCCGGTCCTGAGCCTGCAGAGTTGCCCAGTGCTGGACCTCAAGGCCGTGCCCCAAAGGCAGAGGGGCTGGGCTGTCAGAAGTCTCCGTGGCAAAGGCTGGGGTGACCTGAGTCACGGGGCAGGTAGCGTGGTACTGGGGTACGACCTGGAGTACAGAGCAGTACGCTCAAGTCCACACTAAACGTGTTCTGGAGAAAAGAGGACAAGCCTAGCTCACAGAAAAATCCCAAATCCTGCATGCATACACGTACCCCTTATGCCCTCAGCCCACCATGGCTCCTTGATGACAGCTGTACTTGGTGACTCGCTTCCCAAGGACAGAGGACAGAAAGGGGCAAGTAACTTTACAGTGGAGATGCCTGACGGACTATCGCAGCCACATGACCCAGCCCGACCTGTCCTGAGATGGGCCACGTTGGTCACATGTATGCCAAAGGGCGAGGACAGCACATCACGTCTGTGGCTTCCTCCCCGGAGCCATAACCGTCGCCTGACCAGGAGCACCCTAAACCTAGGGGAAGCACCTCTCCAAACTGTCAGTCGTGAAAAACGAGGACAGCTTAGGAAGCTGCAGTGGGCCAGACTGGACCACAAAGACTGGACGACTCAGTGTAATGTGAGCTCCAGGAGAAAGGGACTGTGAAAAGTCTGACAGAGAAGGAAGAGCAGAGAGAAGACAACGGGCTTCTGAGAAAGGGGCCAACGGAGTGCAAAGTGGGTGGCAGAGTGAGTCTGAAAAAGAAACCGAATGTAAAGCAAGCCCCTGCCCCAAGAGCAGACTGCTGGGCTCCCCACACAGGGCGCCTAGGAAACACCAGAGGAAGGCTGAGAGTCAGGGCTGACGCAAGGGGAGCAGAGAGGGGCATTTCTCCACTCTGCCACACCCTCTCCGAGCCAGGACAGGGACGAGTCAGCCTCAAAGCCCAGAGCTCTGGACACAAGGGTCTTCCAGTCGATGCACCTGTCCTGCAGGCCCGCAGTCAGCACGAACGTAGTGGGACCCGCAGGACAAGCCGGGGGGGACACAGCCTCCAGGGTCAGCAGCCCAGCTCTCAGCCCCTGTTCTGCAAGGACCCAGAGCTGGGTGCCAACACCAACACGGCTTGCGCACTCCTTCCACGACCCAACAAGGTCTTGATGACAGGTGCTTGGAGGGGCCAGGGCCCAAGGGCAAATGCCTATGCTGGTCAGGAGGGCGCTGGGAGACTGGATGGGGTCAGGATGCAAAGGTAGCGCCTGCACACCCCACACACAGATGTGACGTTTGACAGTTATCTCAGTGAGCGTGCATATGACTGTGCGAGAGACAGAGACACACAGTGAGAGAGACAGAGACACACAGGACAGAGAGAGACAGGACAGAGAGAGACAGAGGCAGGACACAGAGACAAAGACGCAGAGACAGAGGAAGAGACAGACACAGAGAGAGACCGAGAGACACAGGACACAGGGAGGGGAGGAGAGGGACACACAGAGACAGACAGAGAGAGAGCGAGAGACACAGGACAGAGAGACAGAGACAGAGAGATGCACACAGAGAGACAGAGGCAGAGAAAGGCAAGAGAAAACGAGAGGCACAGAGAGACAGATAAGGAGAGACAGACACAGAGGGAAGGGCAGTGGAGGAGATGCCAGAAGCAGGAGACCGGCACTCAGACTCCCTGTGTTTCTCTCTCACACACACATGTGCGCACAATTAGTATGTTGCCATGAGGAGCTGAGACTGTCCCACACAAACCCTTGCTCCCGGCAGAAGGTCCCTCCTGCCCCTGATGACAGCAGGGTCTGTGGGACGACTCTCCCTGGCCGCATGGCACTGGGGGCTGGCTGCCACCACTCCCGTCGCTGGGGCACTCTGACAGGGCTGCCTGATGGCACCATATTGAATTTCCTGGGGCGTGTCTCTTTTGTCATGTTCACATACTTTGTGAAGGGCACAGATATGAGAAACCGCTCACAGATGGAGCAAAGCTAGTGTACATGTGTGTGCATACGTGTGTGTATATGTGTGTGCGTGAGTTTCAGTGGAACGGCTCTTGGGAGCCCCTGTAGGCTTAAACCAGAGCTTCTATGCCCGTCAGGGAGGGAGCTCCTTCCTGGGCCGCCCCATCCTTCCCGGCGCTAACAGGGCTCCGCTGCACCACGGCCCACGTGTGCACACCAAGCTGTCCCATGCTCGGTACGTCACCCACCAGAAAGGGCCATGTGAGAGGGTGGGGCTAGGCCAACCTCACACTTAGACTTTCAGAAAGACCTCGATACAGCTGGGCCCCCTGCCTTCCCACGTGCTGAAGGATTTCCTGGTGGAAGAGCAATGACCCCAGAAGGCCAGACAGGTCCCAGCTGACAGTCAGGGTCTCCACTGTACTTAAAAAAAACGGGCTGGCAGCATCAAGGTGCGGTGACATTCACACGCATCAATCAGCTGTCTTCTAACTACAGCAAAAAGGGCACAGAGGACATCTTATCTGAGGGGAAGATCAGGCAGCACCAGTGACACATGGAAAGTGGGCTGGTCAAACAGAATCCAGGCATGAGCTGAACGTTGACCTCAGGCAGACACACGCCCTGGAGAGAACAGTCATGGGCGAAGGAAGGGCTGCCTACGCACAGGGAGACAGCTCAGGGGCAGGAGTGCATGCAGGGATGGACACTGGGAAGAGGTGACTATGGGGAGGAAGTGGGAGGAGAGCTGTTGCATTGTGGGAAACTGGTCAATGACATGAGACAAAGTATATGTGAACTGCTGTATGGAAAGTGAATTTGCTCTGTAAATCTTCACCCAAATTACAATAAAAAAAAAAGCGGGCTGGCATTCAGGGGGACCCACGGATTCCACCAGTTGGCCTGCTGGTAACAGGAAGCAGCCTCTGTCTCAGCCGAGTGGCATGCTGGGTAAATGGGGAACCCTTCCAAGGAGACATGCTCGGGAGTGGGCAGAGCTGTCCGTGCCCAGGTGCCCACTCAGACCTGCTCTGTGTCCCTCAGACGCCCCGGCGACGTGCCCACAGAGCTCCCTGTGCCCACAGAGGCCGAGCTGTCCGTGCCCGGGTGCCCACTCAGACCTACTCTGTGTCCCTCAGACGCCCTGGCGACATGCCCACAGAGCCCCCTGTGCCCAAAGAGGCCGCCCTGAGAGCCGTGGTCTTCCCATGCCTCCCTTCTTCCTGGTCTGAGCTCAGCACCCGCCGCTGCTCCAAAGATCCCGCCCAGGGCTCCTCGTCACTCCCAAACACGTGCCATATGCACATGAATGCCATGGCTGACATTCCTTCCAGTGTGTGCCCACAGGCCAAGCAAGCCGGGCCCCCTCCAAACCCGTGTGTCTCCCAGACGTCCACCCTGCCCCCCATGACCTGACCTCACACCAGGCCATTCCTGTCTACCACCTGCCTGGTCCTTGCTGCAGGCAGCTGCTGCTTGGGACACGGTGCGGACCTTCACATGGAGTGGGGGGCCAGGTGGGAGAGAGGGCCGCAGGGCTGCTGAGCCGCTGGGCACCTGCCCAGTCTAGACTTGCAGGGATGCAAGTGCTGGGTCTGGGACGGTGGCCACCCCGGACACCCAGCTGTTGTGGGTCTGTGACACAGGACACGCTATGGAACCGCTGGGGAGCAAACTGTGTCACAGGAAGGAAGGCTCCGGCCTGTGCCTGTGAACAAGCCTTACTTTGGAAGGAGGGTCTTACTTTGGAAGGAGGGTCTTTGACGCTGTCCTCTGTTTACATGAGCTCATTCCAGGGTAGGGTGTGTCCCATTCGAGGCACAGAGACATAGAGGAAGGACACGACACAAACAGGCCTACATGGGCCAAGGACTGCCTGGCACCACCAGAGGCTGCAGTGACCAGGAAGACCCCCGAGAGCCCTCAGGAGTGTGGCCCACAGACACCTGACCACAGACTCCCAGCCCCCAGAGCCTCACAGGCCCCTGTGTGGGGCCCCAGGACACTGATCCATGGCCCCCAAACCCTGTCGGATGTCTCGATCCGGGAAAGCCCGTTCCTCTGCTAGGGATGGAAGGTGCGCTCCGAGGACGGAATGAGGGAGCGATGACGGCACGTACGCCCTGGGACCCTCAGCGGGGCCGAGGCCTGGCGTGCGGGGCCCCGTGCTTCCCTCCCGCCTCTGCTCGGCCACACGGGCAGGCCCTAGGCTGTCCTGCTGCCCTGCTCCCTGGCTGGGTACCTCCGGGCACCTGAGTCACCCCCGCAGCAAGCAGCAGGACAGAGAAGGCCACACTGCAGGGGACACTGCTGAACTGCCACACTGTGCTGACAGGCTGGGGAGGTAGTCCCCAGGCTTCACGTCCAGCAGCCTCTGGACAGAAAGGGTTCCAGAGAGCCTGTTTCAGAAACCCAGACCGAAGGGCAAGGCGGTCTGGGGCTACGTCCTCTGGACACTGCGCAATCTGGACAGGACGACATTGCCACCACAGGGGAGAAGCCCTGTGCCACACAGATGGGGTGCTCCAACCCCTGTTCTGCCTGTCCGATAAGCCCCGAGGCCCTGTCCCCCTGCCCACACCCTCTTAGGCTGGGATGCAGGTCACAAGTCTCCCTGACTCTGTCCTGTGGTGTGAGGGCCCACAGCGTACACCCTGGCTGGCGTGGCCCACGGGCTCCCGCATGCAGACGGCGCGGGCAAGAAGCTGCGTATGCCAGGGCTGGGGTGAGCAGCCTGCACTCCATGGGCCCCCGTGTGCTTTGACTTGGCCTCCGTGAAATGCCCTAAACACCTCTGCCTAGAAGGGAGACATGACGAGGTCAAGGAGCCCACAGAATCCTTCATCACAACGTCCCCGACGTGACTGACAGAGAAGAACAAAGTCACGCAAAGGTGAGCGCCTGTCAGACTCAGGTCCCCAGCCATCTCCCATCCCCATCTGTGTCCGAGGCCATCAAATCCTTCTGCCAGGTTCAGAGCAGTCCCACTGAGGGGGTGATCACACAACACAGACACCACCATCTCCACGGGTCAGAAGCAGTCAGGACCCTGGGCTCTCAGGCCTTGCCTGTGGGCCTCCACATCCAGGTCTCTGTACCTTTGTACCTCCTCCCCTGGCAGGCAGACAGATGGGCATGTACTTCGTTCCCCAGCAGACATACAAACAGACGGGCCCATATGTCGTCCCCCCAGACACACAGACGGGTCTATCTCATCCTCAGCAGACAGAGATGGGTCTGTACCTCATTTCCCAGCAAGGCTGAGACGCAGGCTTCCGAGGCATCACAGATGGCCGTCAGGTCATGACCACCTTCAAGGGCCAACACGATGCGGCCACCGGCCAGGCCCATCAGCTGCTTGGTCAGGTACCCAAAACCTGCAGTGGGAGGAGATACAAGTGGGGGCAGGCGCAGTGCTGGTGCCCATGAGGGACCGAGTGCTCTGCCAGGCTGACGGCACACAGGGGCCTGTGGCGAGACACCGGCCACGAAGGAAGCAAGTGGCCCCTTGGAAAATGCCCCCGGGAGCCTCAGCCCCAAACCCCTCTGTGGTCTGTAAGCATCCAGGGCAGGGCTGCGATGGCTTGTGCCTGGGATGCAGCAGATAACGTCACCTGGGGGACTAGGGGATATAAGGAGGACAGGTCAGCCCTCACAGAGGTCAGGGAGGGATGGACGGGCAGGCGTGGGGGAAGTGGCCTGGTACCTGTCCCTCGGGTCCTCAGAGGGGCCCCAGCCTCAAGGCACAGCACAGCCACCCAAGAGATGTGGGGCTCTGCACGTGTACAAGCTAGCACAGTTCTTGTGTGCATATGTGTGCCCAGCCACATACATGTGCTCGCACACACACATATACATGTGCTCACACGGTTCTTGTGTGCACACATGCACATATCCACACACAGGCTTGCATGAACACATGGATATACTCACATGTGTGTACATGTGCCCACACACATGTGCTCACTCACATGTGTGCACATGTGCTCACATGCATGCACACACACACGTGCGCCAGGCCCACTGCTTTCTACAGGCCGTGAGCATGGGTGTCAGACTCACGGCCTGGGAACCGCCCCCCGTCAGTGCAAGGCGGTTGCACAATGCAGCAAGAGCAGCCCTGCGCGGCGTGCATCGGCCCAGGACTGGGAGCAGTCTCCCACCCGCATCTCAGCCCACAGCGCCGACGGCCCAGCTTCCGGCCCGTGGAGGACCGCAGGGTGGCGTGCTGGAGGCCTGTGCTTACGGGGACCATGACTGACTGACCACATCCCCTGCTCGGGGAGAATTAAAATGAGTGTCTCTGTTGCCATGGAAGGGGTCTGGGGACAGGAGAGATGTGTCCCCGAGCACAGGTGGCATCAGGCGTGCTGAGGGGCCCTGCACCCGGCAATCTGTGACTCGACTTACATTTGGCAGAGAGGTTGTAGCCTCCGAGGGGGGTGGGGTGACCTTCCACAGCGTCGAAGCCTGATGACACAAGCACCACGTCCGGAGCAAACTCGTTAGCGATGGGCATGACCACTGTCCTGCAGGCGGAAGGGGGTACGGTCGGCCTGGGGGAGGCCTGTGGGGGCGGCAGGGCCAGCCCTTGGGAGGGACGGGCGGGCAGCCTGGGGCACGGCCCAGGGGAGGACTGCGTGGCCACCAAGATGTCCTCACACCACCTGCCCCATGCCCCACTCCAGGTCAGCAGGCTACACCTGGCATTCACACTTCCTGAGACAAAACGGGACCACCCTTTCGTGGCTGATTTCAGAGCCTTTCAAAGCCCAAACCCACTCCCAACACACGGGGGGTATGAAGGCCATGCGGCCTTTCTGGAGGGCTCCCTTCTACACACGTGGGATGCAGGCTGTATCTCTCATCGGCCACATGGACCCAGTGTCGGGGAGCCAGCTGTCCCAGCTCCACCTAGGCTACTGAGCAGCTACAACAGCATGGGTGTTCCCACCATCCGGCACGTCTCACTGGTGGTGATGGAAGATGGCTGGGTCTCTGGGCTGGCACCAAGGCACAAAGCAGTGGACAGAGCCCCGGGCACCCCCCCCCCCGTCACCCGAGGACACAATGCCAGTAGCAAAAGCCTTACACACACCTGTGTGAGCACCCTAAGTCAGGGTTAGCTAAGAGCTGGTAACGCTTGGGGTCCCTAAGGGACAGATGTTCAGGTGTGAGAGAACCAACTGGAGAATGAGTAGGTTCAAATCACAGACGCTGGAGGAGTCCGGGGGCTGGTTTACCTCCTGCCAGGTAGGAACACCCCCTTCCACCTGACAGTCTGCGTCTGCTGAGCCCTGCAGCAGGCCCATCAGTGCTTGCCTGCGCCCCCAGCTGAGTGAGTAGGAACAGGGCTGTGTGACAAGGCAGCCTGTCAATGAGGCTGGCTTTGACCTGATTCTGAATCACCGACCGTCACGGGCACTGGGAGTGCCTGGTACCCCTTGGAGGGGAAAACCAGAAGCACATCCCTCATTTGCCTGGAGGAACAAGTCTGGCACATGGACACGTGCCACTTGGCACCAGCTGAGGAGTGCTTCTCTGGACCCTCAAGATGCAGAGAACGTGGGGAGCCGGGGGGACTGGGTTGGCTTTGGGGCCTCACACTGCTTTCCTTCTGAGGCTGCACCCAGTGGAGGTAACTTCAAGACGTGGCCTGCACCTTGGGGGCCAGCAGGGGCCTGAGTGACAGGAAGTGTGACCACAGCAGGAGCCAGCAGACTGTAAAGGCCTGAATGCTCCTGGCTGTGGGCCTCTGTCCCCTCCCTGCTCCTGCCACCGTGGGACAAACTCAGCCAGAGGAGGTGCAGATACCACAGCTGTGCTGATGGCCTCGTATATAAAGTGCAGGGCCAGCTGGACTGGGCTGCAGGCACACTCTGCCGACCCATGCACTAGGTCTTGCCCACACAATTTCTGGCGTGTTCCCCAATGCAGGATGCTGAATCCAATGCCAGCGTCGCCCCGTGCCCACAGAGACTGCAGACACAGACCACACTGATCACTGTACACAGTGCCTCTGCCCTGGAGCAACCCTGGGGCTTCTGCCAAGGCCGGAAGTGTGCCCGAGACCAGAGTCCCAAGTGTTCACATGGGACAGGGCGCAGTGAGGAAGGTCACAGGCCTGGCCCTCCAGCTGGTGAGCGTGGAGTGTCCTCTGTAGGGCTGTGGCCCTGGCAGGCGGTGGCACACACCTGTGTTGCCTGTGTTGTCGGCTTTCCGCTGCAGTCACTGCTCAGGAGCCCCTCTCAATGACCTCATTGGGTTCCTCACGGATCTCAAAGTCAAGATGTTTTCCAAGAAAATTGCATTTTATGAGGCACCATCTTGCTCACAAACAGCCCTGGCTACTGCTGTGAAGTGGCTGGGTGGGGTGGGGGCGGGGCCCACAGTGGGGGCGCACGCGGCTTCACTCTGTTTCCCAGTGTCGCTGAGCTATTAGCGTCTAATCCTCTATGAGAAGAAAACTGTTAAAATCGTTGAAACAAGCTGACACGAGCGAGCCACTGTGGCTGTGCTGCCTGCCAACCCTACGGTCCAGGCATCAGCTCTCCCGGTCCCAGGCCACCACACAGTGGGTTGGCATGTTCTGGGCTGGAATTCCAAACACTGGCCAGAGCTAAGAAAGCCCGAAATGGCAGTGTCACCCCCATCTGTCAGTGTGTCACCCTGCAGCGGCTGTGTAGCTGGCAGCTGGGCCCCCAGTGTCCCCACCCCAGCCGGTGCCCAGTGGAGGAAAGGCCTGGTGCTGTTCCTGGAAAGGAAGCCAGGGAAGCCCTAGGAGCACAGCTACTGTGGTAGCCGAGGCTGTGTGTCAGCTCAGCTGGGCCGTGACTGAGTGGCTTGGCAGCTGGACAGTTACTCCTCACGGTGAGCCTGGACGTGGTGCAAACAACTCCATGGGGAACTGGCCGTGAGCAGTTAATCAGGTGAAGGGTAGTGGCCTTCAGGGTGCGGCCTGCTGCCAGCAAATATGGAAAGGATCCTGCATCTGGTTGTCTTTATCTCCAGTTCCTGAACTTGAGCCGGTGGCCTGCCACGGTGCCTGCTGGTCTTGGCACTGTGTCATTTTACCTGATTTTGGGTTTGTCAGCCTCAGCAGCCTACAGCCAGCCCCTAGAACCAGCCCTCTGAATTCAGACTTCCACCTCCTAAACTTAAGAGAAGTCATTTCAGTTTGTTCAAGTACTTATGACATTTGTTACAGCAGCGCCACCAGGACAGATACGGTCTGAGACTGACTTGCTTCCTTCAGACATGTCATCAGGAGGGACCACAGCTGGAGAGGGGTGTATTTGGCGACGTGAAGGCCAGTGAAGGTGAGAGAAACCCTCCATGAGATGGACTGACAGAGCCCTGACCGGGGACCTGAGCACACCCATGACAATGGAGGTGGCAGGGACCGTGTCGTTCGGTTGTACATGAGGCCACTAAGAGTCAGCAGCCAACATGACAGACGCCAGCAAGGACCAGAACACCAGGAATGGCACCGTGGGCACCTATGCTCAGTCTCTGCCTGAGACGGGGCCAAGCGAGGCACCCTGACGGCCCCTGGTCTGCCTTCTAGGCAGCCTACATCGGGGTCATCGGGAGGTGGCGAGGAAGCAGCCACATCCTCTGTGGCAGGACGTGAGCCTGGACAATGACAACCAGGGCCAGAGCAGGTCCCACAGGGAAAGTCCGCTCAGCTCAACGAACAGGACCTGCCATGGCTGCTGGCCTCCTCTCCGCTTGTCGCTGCAAGGCGAGTCTTGCCTCCCGGTCACCTCGGACTTGCAGGGCAACCTGAGGCAGAGGGGTAGGCTCAGCGTTTCCAGGGCAGCAGACCGCTGCCCATCTGCTCAGAGGTGGAGATGTTGGAGATGAGGTGGGGAGGTCTCCCAGAGAAAAGACGGAGAGGGCTCCCACTGGCACGGCTGCAGCAAAGGGTCGTCAGGAAAGGCCCCCATTTTCCTGCAGCTTCCCGAATGCCCACCATCCACCCCTCAGAGGGACAGTGCACAGCCCTGTCTGCTCGCAGCCCACCCCCCTCCACGTACGCTCGGAGCAGAGTGCTCTCCAGCCACGCTAGGCCTCCCAGGCAATGCCTTGTGGAGACAGGCGCCTCCGTGCCAGCTCACTCAGGCTTCCTCCTGGCCTCCCTTCCAGTCACTAATGGACGCTGGTCCTTACTCCCCCAGGGGACTCGTGCCTCTGCTGTCCCTGCCTGACACTCCTGTCCCCGTCTTGCTGTCACCACGCCAGCTGCAGGGCCCCTTCACTGTCAGGATAGCTCTCACCACTGACAGTTGCTGTATCTCGGGGTCTTTCACATTCCAGCCCTCCCTATGTGCTTCTGACTGTCTGCCACCTTGCTCCTGCTCGGCACGTGGCAGGGCTCAGACTCCCAGGTCCACGTGGCCCTGCCAAGGAAGGTCAGGTTGCCCGGTCTTGCGCCAGCCCCGTGACCAGTCGTGGGTGGGACCGGTGGGACCCACGGGTTTGCGGCGGCCGCCTCTGGAGCAGACTGCCAGGCCCTCCCTCGAAGGCCGCCTTAGTCTGGAAGCTCCGCTGATGGCACAGACAGACACGAGGTGCAGCGGCCGGGACGGAACCCAGGTTCCCGCACCGAGGGCCAGGATGCCACCACGAGCCACCACCGTGCCCTATGTCCCGTGATAATCCCACACTAGTCCCCAAGTGAAACTGGCGGGGACGACCCTTGTCTTGCCTCCTGAGTGCTGACAGGAGCTGCTCTCAGTCCCCAGCTCAGAAGAGTGAGGGGTTAAGGAGAGTGTGGTGCTGCCTCGGCCCAGGCTGAGCTGGCGCGGGGACTTCAAAGTGCGCGTCTGGGGTGGGGCCTGGTTTGAATTAAGGCCCTTCTCTGGGCGGCTCTGAGCCCAGGAGAAGGTGCTGGTGCTCTGGATCGCATTAGGGGCAATTTTCTTATCTTCTCTCCATCGCGGGCTTGAGCCCCTGCAAACGCAGCGTGGCAGGCAACGTGTCGGCTTCACAAGGTGCTGCTGGGACGGCGTGCCGGCCTCGAGGGGCCCAGACGAGGGGGGCGCGGGGGAGAGGGGAGGCGAGCCCGTGACCCTTCTCTTCCACCTGATGCCCGGGGACCGTAAATTGTAAACTTCAAAGTACTACTTTACATTAAAATAAAAAATCCTGGAGGAATTTTCCTTTTCAAAGCGGCTATTTAGGCTTTAAAAAGTTCACTTGATAAGGCACCGTCGGGTCTACACTTGGCAGCAGATTCAAACAGTTCCAAGAGCAGCTCAGGAAAGAAGGTTCGCCCTAAAGGCTGCCCCTCTGGAGGGCGGGGTGGGGAGAGCCATGTGCAGGGCAGACGTCCCACCCGGCCAGTCCACCTGAGGCGCAACTAGGAGGGGCCCCAAGCAGGGCCCCCACCGAAGAGCAAAGAGCCTGCGCCCCCCAGACACGTCTACACACACCACACAGCTGCACCGGATCCTGCCACACTGGCCACAGAGGATGAGAGTCAGCGTCTATACCGGTCCCACATCGACCCACTTTGCTTTCAGTGAGAGAAGCCTGCTGTCCACCAAGGAGAGGACAGACAGCAGGCTACCCCAAGCAGGTGCGGCTGGGCCAAGATCAGGATCCTGAAGCTGGCCTGGGACCGCGGGCATCAGCAGGTTTGGGTGTCGGGGTCTACCGGGGGACATCCTTGTCCCTTCAACCAGGCAGGGAGCTGGTCACAGTGAGGTGGCACCTGACTGAAAGTAGGACGAGATGCCCACCGACCTGAGACCAGAGGTTACAGTGACTCAAGTGAGTCAGGGCCGTCCCCTGGGGAGCTGAAGGGGACTCCTTGTAGCCTGTGTCCTATAAATGCAGACCCCACCTTGGCTGCGGCTGGGCCATCAGCTCTGCACTGGGGCACTGGCACCCAGCTGGGCTGTCCTCCAGTAGGCTGAGGCGCTATCAGGACATGTTGATGGGTGCTGCAGGCACCAGAGAGCACACAGCTGAGTTAAGCAAAACTGTGAGGTGTCCTCTGCAGACTTTCCTTGCACGAGGACACGTGCCTGTGCACACAGGCGCACATGCACACAGACACGTATACACACACGCACACGTGCATGTACACACACCAATACATGTACATACCTTCACACACATGCGCACAGACAGCTGCAGGACATATATATGCACACCCACACAGGAACCCACACATGTACACAGATTCATGTACGCACAGGGACAGGCATACATGTACCCAGACATGTGCACGCATGCACACACACATGTGCGTGCATACATGCAGGCATGCAAAGGGACAGGTGCACACACAGACATGTACAACTACACACACACACACACGAGCACAGACATCTGCACAGGAACACATGTATACACACCCACACGTATGTACACACAGGTGTGCACAGACATCTCCACAGGGGCACCCAGACATGTACACATGTGTACATGCACACACACATGCATGCATACACGCAAACGTGTGCACAGGGACAGGTGTACACATACCCAGATGTGCACACAAAGATTTACACACACATGCACACAGACACAGACATGTGCACAGGGAAGGCTTGCACACCAGGCGTGTGCACACACATACACGTGTGCATAGACATCTGCAGAGAACAGGTGCACACATGCATATACACCTGCAGCACACATGTGCCCGCAGATACAGCACACGCACGGCACCTCCTTTATGCACGGGCTTTGTATTTGGGAATCAGGACGGGGACTGCGGAGTGTGAGAACACATGAGACTCAGGAAGGGCTCACTGTGCTCCCTCTGGGCCCTCTAGTCTTGTGAACAAAGACCCAGTCTGCAGGCTTGGGGGTGCCAGACCCTCCTCACCGCAGCCTGGGTGCCCAGGCCAACCAGAGCCCCCAGCCCCCTGCACGGGGAACCTCCCTTCCTTTCTGGCTGCCTCAACCTGGCCTGGATCAAAGTGGAAATAAGCACTCTGATGACAGAGAATGTGGTGACAAGAGCCCCCCACTGTGCTGCAGCACAGCCCTGCAGAGAGGCTGGCTGTAAAGGATGCCAGAGAGGCCGAGTGAGTGGTGGGCGGTTTCTCCAAGAGCACAGGACAAACGCTTATGCCCACTGCCCATCATGTCATAGAGGGCTCCTGGGAAAACCAGGCGATCGTTAGCATCTGACCACTGACCTTCCCATGTGACACAGCCCTATGCCTCCCACAGAGCCCTGTCAGGATCAGGACTCAGCCTGCACACCAGACTCCACTGTGACCGGGAGGAGGGGGGCTGAGGAGAGGTCAGAGAGTGCCAGCCACCGTCCGATGCCCCGAAGGGTTCTGGGCGGGCTCTGTGAAGGCCGTCAGCCAGGCCATCATTGCAGGGGCGGGAAGGAAGGTCTGGGAGGGGAGGGCTGGGGAAGCACGGGCCGTGGCCATGGGGCTCCCCAACCATCGCAAAACAAGTGCTGCTTGTGTCAGCCGTGGGCGACGCGGGGCCTTACCTGAAAGCAGCCAGGTACTCGGCATCACCCATGGGGGGGTCGAGGCCACCGGCGAAGGCCATGTTCACATTGAAGCCCACACCGGGCCCTGTGCCCACCTGTAGCCCAAGGAGACAAACAGGGGTGTCATGGGCCTCACCTGGACTGGCCCAGCAGACCGGCCGCGGCAGGGCCAGCGTACCTCATCGGGGGCCCCGCTGCCTGGGAAGAAGTTGCCGTCGTCATAGCGATGGAGGGAGATGTAGAGCACGCTGGGGTCACCGTAGAACGCCTGCTGCGTCCCATTCCCGTGGTGCACGTCCTGCAAGAGCGAAGACAGCCCTCAGCACATGCACCGGGTACAGGGCAGAAGGAATCAGACTGCGGCTGCTCCACCTGAGCCATCCCTGTGTGCCGATGACGTCGATGGCAAATGTGACGTAATGGTCAGGCCTCCCCCCAGCCTGGAGGACCGCCAGCTGGGGGTCACAGGACGGACAGCACAGGGCTCCTCGAGTAGGGAGCCATGTCTGTGTGCCCTCGGTGCCACCGTATATTGCCCAGCAAGGGGATGGAGCTGCTGCTCCTGACCCGGCAGCGGCCGTGACCTTTGAAACGAGCTGTCAAGAGACCAAGGTCCTGCTCCTGCCTTGTATGGCCTGAATCCTGGCTTCATTTGGGTCCTGGCCCTGCTTAGTGACTTAGGGCATGTTCGCAGTGCCGACTGTCAGATATCAGAGACACAGCAGTAGCAAAGAAAGGGACACCCCGCCACTGCACGGGGGTCTGGGCCCCACACCCGAGCAGCACTCTGCCCGTCTTCGTCATGATGCCCCCTTTGCTCCAGCGTGAGCGGGCACCAGAGGCCCCCACAGCTCTCCCACCTGTGCCATCCCCCCCGGCCCGTGGTGGGAGGCACGAAGCTCAGGGCAGACGGGGACAGCCTGCAAGACACATGCATCCTTGTGAGGCCCACACGCAGGCTGTGGGCTGTGCGATGTCTGTGTCCGGCTTACGAATGTGGAAGCAGAGCAAGGCCATGACATGGTAGGACAGGGACACTGTGGTCCTGCCCACTGGACAGCCTCCACTGTGGGCTGACGTGTGTGGAGGTGGCCGAGAGGAACTGCATGGGGTGGCCGTGGGCTGCGGAACACAGGGCCCAGCACCCCGCGACCGTCCCACAGCAGCATGTGCAGACCACCAAAGCGGGGCGTGCTCACATGGTGTGCAGACCGCCCCGGGGGGGAGCACTCACACAATGTGCAGACCTCCCAGCAGGGGGCGCTCTCACAGTATGCAGACCTCCCCAGTGGGGCGTGCTCACACTCAGCCTGGCGTGGGGAGACAGTTCCCATACTCAGCTCCTGTGAACCTCATCTGCTAGCTGTCCCCGTGAAGGGAGCCCAACAGCACCAGGGCCTCAGGGGCCAGCTGTGTGCTCCTGCCTCAACACCGGCTGTATAGGCCCTGTGCCCCTGACCAGCACTGGCACCCCTGGTTGGCTCTGGCAACAACGGGAGCTTCCGCGCACTGACGGCTCCTGCAACAAGCAGGCCTGTGTGCAGAGAGAACCGCTCCACAGGGCTTCCGAGGCCACTAGCCTCCAGAAGCTGGGCGCCAGGCCTGTGTCCTGAGGCACTGTGGCATGGGCTCCGACCGCCCCCATTAGCAGTCAAGTGGGTAACTGTGCAACTTGAGGGCTTCTCTCTGAATATACGCACTACAGACACACTCACAGACATGCACACTCACAGACATGCACACCCACACACGCAGATACCCAGCCACAGAAACACGCACACACATACCGGCACAGAGACGTGACACACACATGCAGACACATATGCACACAGAGCCATGCACGCACATGCACACACACATATGCACAGCTGAGAAGAACAAAAGGAACGGTTCTAGAATCAGTGTGCCCGCTCCTGGAATCACACATCACCCCATAGCATTTCTCTTCAAAGCGCACCCCCATGGGTCGTGGACCTCTGGGAAAATGGGGAGCGAGGCCAAGGCCTCCGTCCCCCATGAGCTGGCAGCCGTCTGGAGGCTGGAGGGGCTGCTTTCGTCACGGGCTCGAGCTTTGATTTCCGTGCCTCTGAGACCGTTCCCAGGAAGCTCTGTGTCCCAGCTCTCGTGTCAAAGGGGCCCAGACCCCCACCTGCTCCCCACACGGCCCTCGGCGGCCGCCCCACTCACCCAGTCCACAATGAGGATCTTGCTGACACTCAGCCGCTGCTGGAGAAGCTTGGCTGCGATGGCCACTGAGTTGAAGTAGCAGAAACCCCTGCAGGTGGGAAGTGGACATGGGAGACCACGGGCTGGGCCAGTCCTCACAGGCCAGTGGGGGCCTCCTGCGGCTCCCAGAGGCTGTGTGGGCCCGGCTCCTGGCAGGCGGCTGGAGATCATGCTGGGGCTCCATGGGACACCTCCTCACTGGCTCACCCCCTTATACACACTCACACACCCTGCTCACCCCCACACACACTCGCACACACCCTGCTCACCCCATACACACTCACACACCCTGCTCACCCCCACACACACTCGCACACACCCTGCTCACCCCATACACACTCACACACCCTGCTCACCCCCATACACACTCACACACCCTGCTCACCCCCATACACACTCACACACCCTGCTCACCCCATACACACGTGCACACCCTGCTCACCCCATACACACGTGCACACACCCTGCTCACCCCCATACACACTCACACACTCAAAAAAATCAAAACCAAATTCACTCATAGGAACCCCTCCTTGGGTTTCCGAGGCGGTACCTCTGCGGAAGTAGATTGCCCAACCTTACTTCCAAGGAGTGGCTGGTGGGTTTGAACCGCCGGCCTTCTGGTTAGCAGTCAAGTGCCTTAGGCACTACGCTACCAGAGCTCACACACAACACTCCCAGCCCTCCCACTCACCCCCATATATACTCACACTCCCCCACTCACCCCCATACACACATACCCTGCCTACTTTCCCACACACATACCCCACTCAGCCCCATATGCACAGACATACCCCACTCACACCCTGCTCACCCTCATACACACCCCCCATGCACACACACTCACACACATATCCCTCACCCCCATATGCACACACATCTGCTCTCCCCACATATCCCACTCTCATATACACACCCAATCCCATAAACACTCACCCCTCACCCCCTCACACACACACACATCCTGCTCACCTCCATACACATTCATATACCCATTGGTCACCCCCATACACACTTACCCCCCTGTCTACACCTATATTCACACCCCACTCACCCCCATACACACCCCACTCACCCCCATACACACCCCAACCTACTTCTACACACTCACACACATCCCTTGTTTACCCCCATATGCACCCCTGCTCATACACACTGCTCACCCTCATACACACACACACCCCACTCACCCCCTCCACACACACACACCCTCTAACCCCATACAGGCACCTCTCCACTCACCTACACACACTCAGCCCCCCACGTACTCACCCCCATACACTCCCCCAGCCCTGCTCACTCCCATACACTCTCACTCCCCCCACGTAGTCCCCTTGTTCACTCCCTTCACACACCCCTCACCCTCTATACTGTCACCCCCATACTCACCCCCACCCCCTCCACTTACACACACCTGTCACTCACAACCCCCCATGCACCCCCTCAGACTCATTCCCCTCACCCTCCACACTCACCTCCTCTCCTCCCTGCCACTCACCCCTACTCACACTCACACCCCATTCAGCCTCTCTAAACCTCACCCCCCTGTCCCCCCACTCACATGTACACACCACTCACCCCCATACACATACACAGCCTGTTCAACCTCCATATACACTCACACACACCCAGTCACTCTCACCACACCCCCAATGTCACATACATGCCACTCACCTCCTATGTACACTCAATCCCTCCACTCACATCCCCCATTCACTCTCATGCACACCCCTCACTTCCCACACTCCTAAACAGCCCACTCTAAATCACACATACACATCACACACACCATACACACTCCCTCCCCACACCCATATGCCCACCCACACATACATGTATCACTCATACATGCCCACACTCACTGATACACATACATCTCCCCACATGCCCCCCCACCATACTCACACACCACACACACGCCCCCCACGCACACTCACACTCCTGTCCATTCACACTCGGCATACCCCACCCCTGGCTGGAGATGCCCACGTCTGCAGGGTCTGGACTCCTGTTTCTGTAGCTTGTATCCCCATCCTCCTCCCTACTGACCGTCGCTGGGTCACTGCTGAGCTCCATCCACTGCGTCGGATTCTGTCTCCTTTTCCTCCACCCACACCAATCCCTACATTTCCCTCCTGTCTGCCCCCTGAACACCCCAGAGCACTGACGGAGCTCTCGCGAGGCACTATGGCCCTGCGGCACAAACACCTTCTCTCCCTTATTGCTTATCTTCTCATGCTTCGAGGGCAGACACGGCAGTGAGAGCCGCGTCGACACTGCGTCAGAACAGGCTCCCCAGGACCCTCTAGGACAGAGGGAAACTGCCTCACAGTGGTTCCAAGGCTGCGATCTTTACAGAAGCGGACTCCCTCATCTTTCTCCTCAGAGTGGCTGGCAGGTTTGGTTTGTTGACCTCTTGGTTTGCAGCTGAGCACTTTAACCACTGTACCCACAGGGCTGGATGTGGTCATATGTGTAACATGCATGCTCACTCTGGTGGTAACACTGCATTCTCTGGAGGGTTTTGCTCATAAGTGAGACACGAGGCAGGAAGTGGCTCAGTGTGAGTGAAGGGCTGGGCACCTGCCCAGGGCTGCTGCGGCTGTTTCTAGAAGCCCAGGTGTCCAGGACGTTAGACAGCTCTTCCTTGCTACGTGGTGCCACGGAGCACCACCCATGAGCCACACTGGTGCCAGCTCACCACAGACACGTGGGGACCTCTAGCAGAAACGCTCACAGGACGTGTGTTATTCAGAGCGTCCAGCAAGACAGATGCAGATCAGAAACACAACTCTGGAGAAACGAAGTGTCAAGACCCTCTGTGCAGGCGAGGGGCACGGGCTGGGCGTGAAGCCTCGGCGTGCTTCTGAGGTCGCGCAGCAGGGACGCTGGCCAGGACGCTGAGCCGACAGCCCACTTCCTGCTCCCGCCTGAGCTGAAGCCCCCACTCTTCAGGGCCGGGTTCTGCGGAGGCTCCAGTCTTGTCCTTGCTGCTACTAGGGTGGCCCTCAGCTTCTGGGCCCCTCCTGGTGGGTGGGAGCTGTCTGGGTACTGTCTGGCCCTGCTCTCTGACACCCCGCTGCTTGCTCTGAGGGTGCACCCAGAGCCCACCCCTTCCTGACTGCACTGCTCCGAGGAGAAAGCTGCCCCTCGCCATTCCCAAAGTGCACGAGGCACCTGCTCTCAGCCCCAGTCGCATCCATGGTGGTTTCTGTCCGAGACGGCATGACTGCCAGGACGGCCAGGCACTTAGTATTCACAGCTGAACCGAGGAGGTGGGGCCGGCTGCCCAGTGGAGCCCGACAGCGCACTGCCCACACACACTCCCTCGTCCAAACCCCCAGGGGGTGGGCAGTCAGGGTTTCTGGAAGGTCCCAGAGTCCAGCGCAGCTGGGGGGGACCCAGCCTGGGCCCCGGGAGGCAGCCCGGTCACATCACTGAAGGTCCCAGAGTCCAGAGCTGGCTGGGGGGACCCAGCCTGGGCCTCGGGAGGCAGCCTGGTCAGGTCACTGAAGGCCATGTGACCTGAGCCAAGGGACTGGGCTTGAATTCCCTGAACAGTGAGGGGTCACTTCATGTTACTCTGGTGTCACTTCCACGTCCCCGCCCACTTTTCACCACAGACCTGACGACACAATGCCCCTGTAGCCAGCCTGCTGGGGTGCACTTGTTACCCAACTTCCTGAGCCCCCACAGCCGTCAGCAGATGCCCCCCCGCCCCTTGCTGCAGCATGGACCACAGGCCCCGGGTGATACAGGTGGGCAGTGCGGGGAGTCAGAGGCTGCTCTTGCCACCACCCCACCCCGTGGGCCCGGGCGCCCATCCTGTCTACTTACATGGGTGTGCTCTCCTCTGCGTGGTGTCCTGGGGGCCGGACCACCGCAAAGCCATTCTGCAGACAGCCCCGAGCAGGCAGGGACAAGTGAGGAAAGACAGGCTTTATTTCAACGTGTGACATGGCCAGGATGAACATGAGGACTTACCGAAGAAAGTCCACACCCTCACGGGTTGGTGGTCAGGATGAGCATGAGGACTCAGACCGTCCCTGTGGTGCTTACCTTAGGTAAGTCCACACCCCCACGGGCTGGCTGTGAGACTTCAAAGCCACTCACACTCTTCATTATGACCCTGAGACCAGACCAACCAGATGGTGCCCAGCTACCAACGCCAACCACCAGGAAGGGGCTCAAACTTAGGGATCCTGGATGAGATGGGAGAGGTGTGAGGGGCAGGGCTGGGCGTCAGGAGGACAATCGGGCCACAGGATGCCCTTAGGGCCTGAGCTGGACTCACTTCTGCTTAACCCTCAGCTGGGTGATGGATGGGCCTATGAGCTGAATGCCTGCACCGGAGGGGTGCGCTCCTTGGAGTGTTGACTGAGGGGGACGGGGTGGCATTTGTGTAGGGAGACAGGGGTGCATGGGTGGGAAGGGCAGAAGGAGGAGGTAGCTGAGGGGGTACAGAGCTGCTGCACTGGGGGAGGGAAACCAGTGCTGAGGAGTGGGCTGGGCGTGGCCTGTCGAGCAAGGAAATCCTCTTTGTGGCATTTCATCCACATCACAGCAGAAAGTTAATAAATGGAAGTGCCTCCTGCTATGAGGCCCCCGGCCAAACTGGGTCAGGGTCAGCAAAGGCTGACTGTGGAGAGGTGGGGTCTGTAGCACCTCGGTGGTCTTCACTGGGTTTGATTTTGGAGCATCAGACACTGGTGATTTGGAACTGAAGGGTCATCAGGGCTCACAGACCAGCCAGATGGCGACACATTCGATTCCACAGGATCATCCGAAACCACATTTAGTGGGGACGCTGCACATCCCTTCCCACAGGCCCTTACACAGGGAGAGCCACCAAGGCCGTCCAGGGAACCAAGGCCACCGATAGGGTTTCAGATTCCGTGGAGCAGCTAGTTCCTAAAGAACCATCTCTCATCGGTTTGACCCCATGACTCAGAATCCACTTGACAGCAGTGGCTTTACCAAGGGACACAGACAATTAAGACGGCACCGTGTGCCATGGCTGTTATGCCGGATGGGTACCGTGTCCCATGGCTGTTACGCCGATGGGTACCGTGTCCCACGGCTGTTACGCTGGATGGGTACCATGTGCCATGGCTGTTACGCTGATGGGTACCGTGTGCCAGGCTGTTACGCCGATGGGTACCGTGTGCCACGGCTGTTATGCTGGATGGGTACCGTGTCCCACGGCTGTTACGCTGGATGGGTACCATGTGCCATGGCTGTTACGCCGATGGGTACCGTGTGCCAGGCTGTTACGCCGATGGGTACCGTGTGCCACGGCTGTTATGCTGGATGGGTACCGTGTGCCACGGCTGTTACGCTGGATGGGTACCGTGTGCCATAGCTGTTACGCCGATGGGTACCGTGTCCCATGGCTGTTACGCCGATGGGTACCGTGTCCCATGGCTGTTACGCTGGATGGGTACCGTGTGCCACGGCTGTTACGCCGATGGGTACCGTGTGCCACGGCTGTTATGCCGATGGGTACTGTGTGCCACGGCTGTTACACTGGATGGGTACCGTGTGCCACGGCTGTTATGCCAGACGGCACTGTGTCCAGTGGCCACATGTCATCCTGGACAGCACTCCCACTTGTAGGGAATTAATAGCACTGGCCAGCCCCCCACTCACCTTCAGCTCTCCCGTGGCCACCTTGAAGACTAGCTCCACCACACAGCCCACGGCCAAACGGGCCGCCCCTGACGAGTGCACCTCATTCCATATGGTGTCGCTGTCCACCTGTGAGACAGTCATCATGGTTACTGTTGTGTGGGCCTCACAGGCACTCTTGGCCTCACTGGTTCCCAAGGCTTTGCTGAGGCCCCGCGTCTAATATCCCAGCCTCAGCCCCTGCCAGTTACTTCCCTCTTCAAGAACGGACCTAGTGTCTCTCCTCATCCAGAGCAAAGAAGAATGAAGAAAACCAAAGATTCATGAAACAACTAATCCTAGTGACTGGTACACCATGCGATCCTCAGCCTATACCACTATGAGACCAGAAGAACTAGATGGTGCCCAGCTACCACTGTCAACCACTTGGAGGGGGATCTCTATAGGAGAGCCTGGATAGAGTGGGAGAACAATGTGGAACAAAACTCAAAGCCATTAAAAAAAAAGTGGGGACCAGGTTTGCTGGTCTGACAGAGCCTGATGGATCCCTGAGACTATGGCCCCTAGTTGCCCTTCAGGTCTGGAATTGAACCCACACCTGTGGCTTCCAAACAAAAGCCAGGAATACGAGTTGAACATTTACCTGAGGTAGATACACTCCTTGGAGAGAACAATCATGGGAGAAAGAAGGGCTGTGTGTGCACAGGGAGACAGCTCAGGAGGCAGGAGTGCATGGAGGGAAGGACACAGGGAAGAGGTAACTATCGGGATGAAGTGGGAGGGGAGCTGTTGCATTGTGGGAAATTGTAGTCAATGTCATAAAACAAAGTGTATGTGAGTTGCTGTATGGAAAGTGAATTTGCTCTGTAAACTTTCACCCAAATCTTTCTCTCTCTCTCACACACACACACACACAGACACACAAAGAATGGACCCAGATAGCACTGGGGCTTTGTCTTTTAAGAGCAACATGCTACAACCATACAATAGAGCAAGGAGGCCGAGTGTGGGGGAGTCACCTATGCCTGGTCCCCTTAAGGACTGTGGGTGTCATACCCCAGTACCCCTGGGGCCAAGGGCCGCTGTTATCACTCCCTTTCTTCCTTCCCTTCCTCTCCTCTCTGCGCCTCCCTCCGTCTTGGTGACTGCATCCTGGTTCTAACAACCTACGACAGACCCGACCGTAAGCACCAGGGGGCAATCAGCAGAGGGGATAAGGAAGCAAATAGGGGTGAGTGCAGACACGGAGTTCATCTGGTGCTACGTTTAAAGGGAATCTCCAAACGTGGCTGGGCAGGGAGACAGCAAGAGGCGTGGGGCGGGTGGTGAGGGCTCGGACAGGCCTTGGCAGCAAGGTGTCCTCCCGAGGCTGGGCTGCCAGGGGATGGGCCTGCCAAGCTGGCTGTTCACTCAAGCACCAGGGCGGCCACACGGCATGGCCAGCAGCTGGGTGCCTGCACTCCTGGTTCAATTCCTCATTTGGCACAAACCACAGAAAAAAGGGCACTGGCAAGTGTTGTGAAAAAAAAAAGAGACTGTGTGGCCAGGTCTGGGAGCTCGGAGGCATGACAGGCCAAAGACAGAGAGACACACTCGAGGGACTGTCCCTCCCGAGGGGCTTTCACTGGCTGAGGTTGTGACCAGTTCACTAAAGCTTATCAGAATGCTGACCCCGGCTACGAGCACAGTGCCAGGGGCACATGTGGCAAAGGACCAGTGCTTGGCAAGACCTGCTGCCTGAAGGAGCTCACTGCCAGGCAGAGAGGAACTGCGTGTTGAGCGGTCCAAAGCTTCCTCTTCAAAGCCAGATGCTTTGTAATGGACTGACCAGGCTCAGGCCAGTTCCTGGAGAGCGTGCGCCCACAGGGTGTCCTGCCAGTGGCCGGCCTGGTGGCTTAAAATAGCTCCCAAATGTCAAGAGAACTCTTCTCACGCCCGCTCGCCAGCGTCAGTGCCCAGCGCCAGCGCCGACAGGCCTGCTCCTGTCCCAAGGAACTGCTGCTCAGGACTCAGCCGGAGAGCCACCTGAGGGCACGCCACGACACCAGCAGTCGGCCAGGTCTTTCTTCCAGGAGCCCTTGGGCAAGCCCACACCTGCCAGTGCTCGGGCAACAGCTGGGTGCAGAGCGGGGTGTGGCCAGGAGCAACGTCCGTCCTGACTAGTCATTTCCTGCAGCGCACACTAACTGGTTCCGGAAGGAAGAGGCCACACAGGCAGGGGAATAAAGCCGCACTGCCGAGCGTGCCCGTGCCCGGATGGGTCTGTGCCCCCCCACCGGGCACCTGGGCACCTGCACCGCCGGGCACCTCTGCCTATTCAGATGCCCCATCAGAGCCGCACAGAGTGGGGGCGGAGCCCCACCCACTGCAGGGGCCTTGGTGGTGACTGCCTTTGTCTTCCCACTGGGCCACCAATCCTGAGGCCAGCCTCAGGTGGTCGGTGGTCGTGGAGTCCTGGGGGTGCAGCAGGAGCAAGGCTGGCAGCAGCCCAGCCTTAGAACTGGCTATCAGGAGTGTGGCGGTGGGTGCTGGACGGCAGCTGTGGGCTCCCTCCGATGCCCTGAGCAGAGGCCCAGTGCTGGGGAGACCCAGCCCAGGCAGGATCTGGCGGGATCTCTGCCGAAGTGACTGGGCTTGACGCTAGAAGTGGAGGCCCTCCAGGAAGGACCTGTCCCAGGGAGGCTCTTCCCTTGCTGCTAGGAGACAGTCCCGAGCTCCAAACTCCATCGACACCAGCCCACGACCTCAACGCAGACTCCGAGCGTGCCGGGGAAGCCACAGCCGTTCTGTGTCACCTTCTCCCATCCCAGCGGCTACATCTGTGCCAGGCTCTACGGTCTGCTCTGCTCTCAATCGAGCCCACCGCTGGTACACAGCAGTGCCAGGGCTGGCCTTATTCCCTCAGTGCTGTGTCTCTGCCCAAGTTGTGAGGAAGGCAACCGGAAGAGAGCCCTGCCCCACAGTGCTCTGCAGACGCTGGGGGCTCCCTGGAACATGGGCCTGCGCACTGTGCCTGCACCCGAACCGAGGGGGTGCTCAGGCAGCTGGGGTGCAGCTGGGGTGGGTACTTGTGGGGTGGCTGGGGCTCAGCCCCCTCTGAGTTTGTATTTAGTTTTCATTTGCAAATTACAGATTCTGCCTGGACTGGCACTCGGGCCGCAGGGCAGTGTAAATCCAGACCTTTTCAAGTCTGGCCAAAAATTTGCCATGAATTAAGAGACTGGGGCCCATTTACAATACAGACTAAAAGAGCTCGTGGAGCGCCCAGCGGTGCAGGAGTGAAGGGCCCGACTCCTGATGGGATGATTTTCAAAGCAGCGATTTCACGAAGACTCAGGAAGAAGCCGATTTCATTTCATTTCCATAACAGGCTCCAGACCTTGCGCTTCAGCCTGATCTGAAACCCTGCAACCACTGCTGCACGGCTTCTAGCTGGCAGCCTTTGTTGTCTGCGTGTCCGGCCGGCCTCGCCGCCCGTGACCTCTGCCAAGTGTCTCCGCAGCGGGGCTTGGAGGCCCGGCCTCGCCTGCAAACTGCACTCTGTTCCTCAAGGGCATGTGTGCAGGGGAGCTCCTTCTGCGGCTCCCGCGCAGCTCGGAGCCTGGGCCTGCCCTGGCGGTGGCCATGTGGCTGTGGGAGCCCCCTCCTTCCTGCATCTGGGAAAGCCCATCCGAGCTGCTGACCCCTGAACTGTTAACAGACGAGGGCACCGTGTGGCTCACGGGGGAGGAAAGCATGTGCGGCCCGTGTGCGGCTCCGAACTCCACCCGCTCCGGGACGCCTTGTCTCTGTAGTTCATGCTGGCAAGTGAAGCAGGCGCGGCCCTCGCTGCTCCAACACGGGAGGAGGTGCTAGGGGCCACCACGGGGAGGGCGTGCTCCCCGGGGAAGGTACTCCATCCCAGGGCCCACGGCTGTGTGTGTGCACTTTGAAGCGCGTCCGTGGTGCGGCCCCCAGGCCTGCTACGGAAACACCTGGAAGCAGTTAACCCTCCACAGAGGCAGGGTTGCGATGCTGTGACCCAGGAGACCCTGAGAACAAGGAGGACGCCATGTGCACATTAAAGGGATACTCACCCCAACACCACCACACGGGAGCCGCACGAACACCGACGTGAGGGAACCTGTGGGGACAGGGACGGTCAGGGGCCAGGCCGCCAGCCCAGCCCGCCTGAGGCTGCTGAAGTACAATGTGAGGGCGCTCTGGATGGCTCTCAGCCCGTGTGCAGAGGTGTGGCCCACACTCGTGCCATGCTGGGGCCAGGCCTGTCCGTGGGTGGCTGCTTCCAGTCGCCTCTGGGCGGTGGCTGCGTCTGTGTGTCGGCCTTGGGTGCAGAGCCACGGGGGACGGCCTGGTGTCCTGTCTGGTCAGAAGGTGCCTCTGGGAGCAGCTCCCTGGGGGAGCCCAAAGTCCCAGCTGAGCTGCTGGGTGCCTTCCCAGGAGCGAGCCCTGGGCTCCTAAGGAGTGACGGGGACCACGTCTCACCCCAGAGTCACTGGTTCCCCTGCAGCCCCATGTACAACTCGGGGCACGCATCTGGGCTGGGCAGCCCTCCAGCCCTGAGCAAGACAGGAGGCCCTGACCAAGACCCCTCAGCAATGTGCCCACCTTGCCACCTCCACCGGCAGCACATGCAGCTGACCGAGACCATGGGACAGAGGACCAGCTAGGGGCCCCCAGGAGTTCACCCTCCGTGGAGCTCACACCACGCCAGGGACAGCGCGAGCCCACCAAGAAGTGTCCCTCCTGGAAGTGGGGACCTCAACTGCCTCAAGTGTGCTCTCCCAGCATGAGAGGCCGACCACGGGCCGCGACAGGCAAGGCTGTGACCGGTGGAGTCCTCCTGGGCCCAGGCATGTCAGGGCTCAGCCCTGTTCTGAACGCACGGCTGGCCTCGTGCCGGAGCCGGGGCCGCGGCTCCTGGAGGCGTGTCGACCTGCGTGTCCTCTGCAGCTCTGCTGACTGAGCACCGCACCTCTGTTCAAACCCCGGTGCCTCCCACCACTGGCGCCCGTCTCCCAGGGTGGGTACGGCCCACTCATTGCCTACATCCCTTCCCGCTCCAGTCTCCTAAGCTTCAACTGCAGGGGGGGCACAGGAGTTCTCTGGAGACACTGTCCACGTCAGGGAGAGGGGCCCAGATGTGCCGGCTCGGGACGTGCTAGGTGTCCAAACTCGGCACAGGGCACACTGTCTGTGTTGTCAAAAACAAGAGCAAGATTCTGCACGTGTGTCCTTAGGGGAGAGGGACGGGTCGGCGGGGCTTTCCTCCCGACGATGCCCGGGCCTCCCCCCAGTTCACCGCCAGCAGCGTGGCCCATGGAGACCGTCTTGCTGTCAGTCTTTGCTGCAGTGCTCACCCCAGGACCCTCACACCCCCGTGTCCTCACGTGGTGAGAGCGCCATGCAGCTTGTGGTACTTTATGCTGTACGTCACCTCCATTAACGATACAACCCTTCCTCTGCCACTAAGCCCTGTTTAGAACCTGTCCCTGTGACCACAAGGACACCCAGTCTGACGTCTGTCCTCCCCACAGGGCTATGTCAATGTTGGTTTAAACCCTTCAGGAGCAGGACGAGTCAGTGGGTGACTGTCTCGTGTGGTGTCAGCCTGACATCAAAGAGACTTTAATGCTGCAGGTGTCATCTCCCTCTTCTTTACAGAACGCACCTTCCTGCAACAAACCTACGTGCTGACGTGATCCTGGCCGCACCAAGAGGCTGCTGAGGCAGTCAGAAGGCTGATGGGCCTGAGGGCCTGGTGCGCGGCCACAGAGAGCGGACCGGGCGGCCTCACGGTGGGCCCCTTTCCCTGTGACACGGGGGCCTGCGGGGGTGCCCAGCCAGCACTGGGACACACTGAGAAAGCCCGCAGCCCAGCCCTGACCGCTCCACGCCCTGACGTCTCCGTCAGCTGTGTGTCGTCCCAGTGAACGTCCCCGAGAGGGTCTTAGGGGGCTTCCTGCCTTGCTCATGGTTGGAGGCTCCGGGAACACCCAGATTTGAATCGTGTTTGGAGATGTACACATGATCCGGGGGAGGTGGGTGGAAGCAAGGATGTGGCAGTCCAGTGGCAGGACCCACGAGGCTGCTGTCTACTCTGGCACAGAACGGACCTGAGGCAGGCTCTGTGGTGACAGGAGAGGAGACATGTCTGGCCACCCACATCACCAGCGGCTGCAGCACAGCGACTGGTGGGACCCTCTCTCCCCCTGCTGGCTGGCTGGTTTGAGGGTCTTTCCCCTGGGGAGGGGCCAAGCAAAAACACCCAGGGTGGTGACGCCCCTTCAAGGCCAGAGCTGAGATCATTCCAGGAAGGAAGGGCTGTGCCTGTGCCCGGGGGGTCAGGGTGGGGGCAAGCACCCACTCGAAGAATGGGCTGTGGGACCACCCAACACCCTGTGCCCAGGGAGTGCACATGCTGCCTTGTCCCTGGGAGCCCTGAGTCTGCATCCCTTGGGGCCGGTCCCAGCCCTGAGCTGTCCCAGGGCCGCCCCAGGTCTATTCTCTGGGACTGCCTGTCAGCCCCATAGAGGGGGCGGTTCCTGGAGGGGCGCAGGTCCCGCAGGAGCATCGGGGCCTCCAATTCCATTCCCCCACGTGCCTGCCAGCTCAGTGAGCTGGGTCAACACTCCACATCCTGTGTGCTGCGGGCTGAGAGCCAGAAGGGAGGCCTCTACACCGCGGGTCCGCAGCCTAGCCCCAGCCCCCACAGTGGTTGACAGCCCTCGGGGGCACGGTGGAGACGCTGCCCACACATAGCAGCGGCGACTCTGGACCCAGCGGCGGTGGTGGTGGCTGTGAGATACCTAGAAGATTCTTACTGTCCAGTTTCTGCCGGTTGAGGGGGTTGGTGCCATAGAGCAGCGTGTGGGCCTCTGAGTGCACGGTCTGCAGCTCCTCCAGCGTGGCCTTGCGTCCACGGATACACTGCGGGGGACACAACAGGCCATCACGTGTGAACATCCGCGTGTACCGCGGGGACAGAACAGGCTATCACGCGTGAACGCCCACGGATACACTGCGGGGGACACAACGGGCCATCACGCATGAACACCCACGTGCACTGCAGGAACAGAACGGGCCATCACGCATGAACACCCAGGTGCACTATGGGGACAGAACGGGCCATCACACGCCTGCTGGGCTGTGCTCCTAGCAGAGCCCCGCCCAGGTGAACCCAGCCTCACAGGTGAATGTGTGCGTGCTTGAAGGACCCTCGGAAGGTTCGATCTCGTGACCCCAGCCTTCCCCACGCCCCCTCCACTGTCAGAGTCCCCCACCGTTGGCTGCTCTCCCACCCAACGGCAGCACCTGCTCTCACAACAGCTGACGGCAAAGGCAGAGTGAGCGTCTCCCTCTGGTGCTGGGCAAGTCAGGGATCTGGGACTTGTGCCGAGGGTGGCTGGGCTCTGGGGCCCTTGTTCCTCAGCTGCAGGTCTGAGAGCCCAGGGGCCCGAGTCCTGCCGCTGCGCACCCTGCTCAGGGCTAGACTCCTGGGTGCCGCTCAGACCGGCCCCAGAAGTTCACAGAGACCTAGGGAGCTCCCCGTGAAAGACACCTCTTTGGCCTTGTAGGGGGCAGTGGCCGGGGTGAGAGTTGAGGCCAGCGGCTCTCTGAGAACCGAAGCCTGTGAGCTGCGGTGGTCCACACATGCTTGCTGGGGGGGCGGGGACCAGGGGCCTCAGGTTGCTCAATCCCAACCACCTGGCCTCCACTGGGCTTGGCTTCCATACCTGCCAAGGTGGCATGTGACCAGGTGCTCTGCGGCCCTCACCTGGTGTCCTGCCCCAGGTCTGGCCTCAGGCGGACACTGCACTCTAGGCTTTCCCACACGGCATTCTGTGGTCAGAGACCTGCTGTGCACCCACAGGTGCCCACTTGTGGACTTGGGAGGGACGGGCGGAACCATGCAGGGCTGGGGTTGTGATGCCCTCTGCTCCTCACCCCTCTAAAGACCCCTGAGGGGCCTGTGGTCCTCTCGCCCAGGTCCGTGAATAAGCCAGTGCTGGGAGAAGGAGGCTGAGGGGAGCGTGGTGCTTGTGGGGACACAATGGCCGCACACCACACAGACGCTTGTGAACTGTCAGTGGCCGCCTGCCCTCCTGGGAGCCCATCTACTTGGTGAGGTCTCCCTTGAACTCCCGGACTGAAACACGGACACCCCTCCAGCTGCACGCTCACGGCTCTGGGCAGGAGGCAGCCCTGAGAGAACTTTGACCTTCGTGCTGTGCCTGACCCCTCTCCAGCCTGCCCCCATTTCCTGAAGGCTGTGCCTGGTTGTGGAGGGCAACCCCATGGTTAGCAGGGCAGGGGCAGTGTCGGGGTGGGGCAGGGCAAGGGAGGACTGAACAGGGGCACTTTTCCTCCAGGTTTCAGACCCTCATGGAGGTGCCAAGCAGGCGAGAAGGCGGAGGGAACCAGACGAGTAACTGGGCTCGGGCTTCTGCCGGGCGATGCTGCCCCCCAGTGGTGAAGCCGGAGCGGACAGGCGCTACCGGCAGGTTCCCAACCGCTTGGCATACAGCATGCACTTGGGAGAGGCCTGGAGCAGGCCGGGTGCCCTCCCCTCTGAAGACGGGGGTAGGAAGCTGGTGACCACAGACCCGGCTGACGGAACTCCTAACCACTGCAGGGTCTAAAGGCCGAGCAGGGAACTGAGCGGATTCCGAGACAGCGGGGCCTCTGCAGGCAGACCCACACCGTCCTGTGGCAGCAGCTGCCTGAGGCCAGGCCAGGCCACGGGGTGCTCTAAGGGCCCCTGGGTTTGGGGATTCCAGTGAGGGGCAGGGAGGGGCCGGCAGAGCCCCGTGGAAGCCTCCGGGGCATTGCTGTCCTGGTGCAGCGGCAGGAGAGGGGCACTGTTAGCCTACCCTGAGCCCTCTCCTCACACGGGCCAGCACCAGTGTGGACACCCCTGCCCCCCGAGGGCACATCGGGTGGATGGGGGACCTCGGAATGTCATTCCTCTGAGCCCACTTCCGGCCTTCACAGCCCAATCCTGCTCCCAACACGCCCTAGCCATGTTTAGAGTGCAGCGAACCCAGTCGGGGCGTCGGGCAGGAGGAAGAGCAGACACATGCCCTTTTCAGATGAGCTCAGCGCAGAGTGAGCGGGATTCAGAGCAAACCGAGGTCCACCCATAGCTTGGCCCCGACGTGGAGCACACACGCAGCTAAGGCCTCGGGCTGGGGCCTCTGACCCAGCTCCCAGAGAAGCCTGCAAACGGCTGCGGATGGGTTGACCATGCACATGGGCGCCTGAGGGCGGGGCATGGGCCCTTCCAAAGGGGGAGCAGTGGGGGGGAGGAAGGGCTGCAGCCTTTATGGAGCTGGTCTACACCCACAGGCCCTCACGCCTTCCCAGCCTCCCTCCCACCGGGGCAGCCCTGCCTGCCGGCAGCCACAGTACCTCACACTTGCCACGGAGGCCAGTCTCCTGAAGGCGCGACCAGATGCTCTGGATACGGCCGGCGTGCTCAGGGTGGCTGTTGGTGTTGCCACAGGCGCACTGGTGCTTCAGCATCAGCGTGTCGTACACGAGGCCTGTGGGCACAGACGGTCAGGGCAGGGCCGCGGCCACACGAGGCCACAGTCAGGGCAGGGCTGGTGCCACATGAGGCCACAGTCAGGGCAGGGCCTCAGCCACACGAGGCCACAGTCAGGGCAGGGCCTCAGCCACACGAGGCCACAGTCAGGGCAGGGCCGCGGCCACATGAGGCCTGTGGGCACAGACGGTCAGGGCAGGGCCGGGGCCACACGAGGCCACAGTGAGGGCAGGGCCGCAGCCACAGGAGACCACAGTCAGGGCAGGGCCGGTGCCACACGAGGCCACAGTCAGGGCAGGGCTGGTGCCACACGAGGCCACAGTCAGGGCAGGGCCGCGGCCACACGAGGCCCGTGGGCACAGATGGTCAGGGCAGGACCGCGGCCACACGAGGCCACAGTCAGGGCAGGGCAGAGCCGGGGCCACACACAGCCAGTCAGGGCAGGGCCTTGATGGGACATGTGGGGTCCTATGACTGCTATGACATAGACAATTCTGAGGAGTGATGATTACGGTGCCCTCAGTGGCTGAAGGGGTGATGGGCGGGTTGGCCTGGCCCAAGGCTGCTCATGACCATGGCTGCAGCAGGGCTGTGTGGGGGACCCCGGGGGTACAAGGCAGAGGCAGGCAGGACACCAGGACTGCCGCCACCTTGTGGCCTCTCTTGGTCCACACTGCAGACGGTGGCTGACACTGGGAGACCAGAGGCTGGTTCTGCAGACACCCCTTTTTCTGGCGATGGGTCAGCCCTCTGTTAAGCTACGGTGGTGGAACGGAGCTGCCCAGCCCCCTGAGGGTCAGAGGGAGAGGAAGAGCCTCCCGGGTGCCGGGTGTGGTGTGAGCATAGGCATGCCCCTCTGGAGTCAGTGCACAGAAGCAGCGACAGAGCTGGAGCCTGAGGTGTGGGCCTGGCGTGAGCTAAGGGTGGTGGCACCCGCAGAGTGAGGACTGTGCCATGGGGTCTGGGGCACCCGTGGGTAGGTAGTGGGAGGGAGTCACCCAGTGGGACCTTGCTGAGTGCTGTCCAAGGGGCACGGGCCCCTCCGGGGACCTGCGGCGCTGGGGCCTGCTTGTCTAACCCCCCCTCTGCATGAGGGCAGGCTGCAGACGCCACCCCTGCTGCCCCACCGAGAACAGCACCACCCACGAGGCTGCTACACAGGAAGCTGGACAGGGCCCACGATGCCCCCCACAGGGCCCACCTGCCCCCCACGCCCAGGCAAAGGCAGTGCCCTACCTGTCGTGAAGCGCGGCTTGGCGGGGGGCTCCTGCACAGACATGGGGAAGGTGGCGGCCGCGGGGGATGACTGTGCCCGGGACAGGGGCCGGTGGCCGCCGAAGGAAGCGGGGATGCCGGCGGCCTCCATGGAGGCCTGGTAGCTCCTCAGCTGGTGGATCCGCTGCTGCTCCAGGAGAAGGGCTTGCTGGGGGGGGGGGGGAGAGGCCCTTCTGTCCCTTCAGCGTCATTCCACGCCTCAGGGCTCAGGGGTTATGCGCGCGCATATCCCTTTCTCGCAAACCATCTGTCCACCCACCATCCATTTATGCACCCACCCACCAAGACACCCCTCCACCCACCCACCCACTCATCATCCCTCTCCATACACACCCATTATGCACCCACCCATCACCCATCACCATCCACCCATTCACCTACCCACCCACCCATCATCCATTTACCCACAGATCCATCCATCTGCCCAGCCACACATCCTCTCACCCATTTATCCACCCATCCATCAACACACTCCTCCATTCACCCACCTATCCACCACCCATCCATCCATGCATTCACCACCCATCCACCCATCTACCCACCCACCTACTCACCCATCATGCACCATTCATCTACCTACCCACCCACCCAATCATCTACCCAAACATCTCTCCGTTCCTGAGCACACAAGAGGCTGGCCCCGCAGCTCATGGGCAGCCTGCTGGAATGGGGCCACCAGAGGCCCGGGAGGAGCCCCCAGCTGGTGGGCAGTCTGCCTTGTACTTGTGTGTACCCAGAGGGCAGGTCTTTGGGGTGTGTGGTGATGTGGGAAATGCCTGTTCCCCACGGCAGGCTTTGAGAGGGTCCAAGCAGAGAATAGGCACACAGAGCCCCCACCTTCAGGGACCCCACATTCTGGTGGGAGGGCAGGCTTTCCAGAGGGATCAAGGCCTCTTCCTAATCACACTGTGGTTTAAGGGCTCGGGATGGCGGAGAAAAGCAGCAGGAGGGGAGAAGAAGGGCCCACTGAGGGCCAGGCACTGGACACGGAACGTGAGCCAGGCCGAGGGCTGGACCCAGTGGGTCGTGTCTGAGAGCTCTGGGCAGAGACCACACTGTGGCCCCTTCAGGCTCCCTGATGCTCTTGACCACAACGCACTTCACCAGCCGTCAGAGCCCTGGATGGGAAAGGCCTCTCCAGTGAAGTGCTAACTCACTCCCTCTTCACAGGCCACTCTCCTGTCTGCCCTTCATCACACCACACGCCTAGGCCAGGACAGGGCGTGCTCCACAGGAAAGATGACATGTGCCACTCAACTTCCAACACCTGGGCCACCTCAGGGACCAGGACCGGGGCCAGTGCAGCAGCTGGGGTCCTGGAGGCTGGAGGGGTGGACGCCCCTCTGAGGTGGGCGTTTGCTGGGCAGGGGTGGGGACCCCGATGGTCCATCCCTGGACCCAATTTGGACATTTCTCAACAAAAATGACCAGAGTGAAAAGGCGGGTGAGAAGAACAGACAAATATTGTCACGGAAACATTTTCACATAAACCAATCCTGTGTGACCAGCTGGCTGCTGTGAGACAACAGGGCTCCATGGACCAGGAAGACATCATTTAACACCTGAGAAACCCCAGGCACCTTCCAAAGCGGCAACGGCCCACACTGATGGTGAGGAGCTGTGGACCGGGTATCGCAGTGGCTGAAGGCTGGCTGCGCTATAAATCACCCCCACTCTCGGGCCCAGTGTGCACACGTGAAGGGCACAATGAGCGTCTTCCCTACTGACGGTGACTGAAGAGGGGGTTTGGGCTGCTCAGCCGTGGCCTGGGAGCCTGGCTGAGTCATCTGAGGCGTGAGGCCGAGAGGGGACCGGGCAGGTTCTGCCGGCTGAGAGGTGGACGGGAGTCCCCAGGGGTGGTCTGCCCAGCTCTTCTCCAGAGCCTTGCCAAGGCGGCGAGAGAGTGAGCAGCCGAGTCCAAGGTCAGAGGCCCAGGGCAGGCGAAACAGCCTTGGGGCCTATGGCTCCCATCTCCAGTCCCAACTCAGTCCATTGAGCAGGTTTCACTCCGGAGGGACCGTCAGTGCTGAGCCTGGGGGCACAAACAGGCTGGGAAGAGAGGCTGTGTTGCCACGTGCCCAGTTCTCCTGCCTTCAGCATCAGGGCCCGGAAGGAGCAAGAGGCAGGAAACCTCTAGGATACGGAGACTGGGGAGAGCTGAGCTCCCCGTTCAAAGAGTCCAGGGGCGGGGGCGGGGGCGGGGTCAGGACACAACCCCAAAGGGTCTCTTCTCTCTGAGAGCTCTGTGCCCTTGCGTTAGCCTCTCAATCAGGGGGTGCACGTGGCCAGTGTGTGCCCCCAGCTGCTAGCCCCAAGGTTGCTGGCTGCAGCGCACCAGTGGTGTCTCGGCGGGAAGGCCCGGTGATCACTCCCCAGGAGCCACCCACTGAAGCCCCAGGGAACGCAGGTCCACTCTGACACACAGGGGCGCCAGGAGTCAGAACTGACTCCATGCAAGAGAGTAACACCGGCGATCTCGCCCTCCGACGGACGTCACCAGCTTAACAAACACTAACGGTGCACAGGCGACTCGCCCGGTCTGCGGTCCCTCCTGCTAAACGCGTGCCCAGCCCCCGACAGGGTGGCAGCCTGCCGCCCCCCAGAGCACACGGAAGGTGATTGCTTGCAGAGCCCGCTCCACGCTCGGAACACAACGCTGGTTTCTCTAAACAAACACCGCTCGCCTTGTCACCGACCAGACACCGCCGCCAACAGGACCCATAAGGCACTTTCCCGCTGACGTCAGTGGGAGGCCAGCACACTGGGTCTCAGGTGTGGGAAGAGCTCTGCTTCCTTCAGGGGCTGCCTACAGGTTTGGGGGTGAGAGCACAGGCCCTGTGGAACAGGATCCTAGGGTCTTTCCAACAGCCGTGACGTTTCCACACACGTTGGGGCTACAGGACTTTGTGGTGCTGTTGTCGTCAGGTGCCGCTGAGTCAGCTCCGACCCACAGCGACCTCACGTCAACAGAAGGAAACACTGCCGGTCCCGCGCCAGCCTCACGGTCCCTGCCAGACCTGAGCCCATCGCAGCAGCCACCGTGTCAGTCCATCTCGTCAAGGGCCTTCCCTGCTTTTGTTGACCCTCCACTTTACCAAGCCTGACGTCCTTCTCCAGGGAATGGTCCCTTCTGACAACGTGACCAAAGTAGGGGAGATGAAGTCTGGCCATTCTCGCTTCCAAGGAGCATTCCAGCTGCACTTCCTCCGGGACGGAACTGTCAGCCCTTCTGGCACTCCACGGTGCTTTCACTATTCTTTGCCACCACAACTCAAAAGCATCGACTCTTCTTTAGGTTCCTTTGTAGATGGCGCTAACAAAGGGGGCTCAGAAAGTCCGATGTGGAAGCCGTGCTATCGGTGGGCACTGCTTCACCTCCCCAGCCGTGGGGGTTGGAAGCCGTGCAGTGCCCAGTCAGTACAGAACGTCCCTAATGGAGACCTCAGACCTGACACGTGTGCACGGCAGGGGGGCCTGGCTGCCCCAGTGGAGTCCAGGGAGTGAGGCTGCGTCATTCTGCCCTGTGGTGAGGGCTTTAAACCCTGGGTGGGGATGAAATTAAGTGGCAGCTCCCATGTTCAGAGGTGTGGCTGGGGCTGTGGGAAGCAGTGGGGACCTTCCACCTAGGTAGTCATGGAGCCAGGAGGTGTGCTGGCAGCTGGGAGGCTGAGGCAGCCAGTGGGAAGGGGGGATGGGCAGGGGCCTGTGCCCCAAACACAGCACCTGTTGGGGCTGCCCCTGGGGGAGAGGGGGCCCATCAGATCACACCCGCCAGCATCCTGGCTCCGGTCTCCGCCTAACAGGCGACAGATGGCCCTGATGCCTCCATGGCTTCGTGTATGGGGCTCTGCTCGGTGGCCAGCTGTCCCACACGTGCCTGTCAGCTTGGTGGTTTTGTTTTTCGCCGCAGGTTAATACACTATCAACAGGGCTTGTGCTTCAGTCACTTGTGAACGTGGTGAGTGTGTGTCAGGTCCCCAGAACCTGACCAGCTCCCAGTTCCCAATCACACTGTTGCTCGGATCTGTAAGCCTGGGCACAAGAAGGCCGTGGCGTCTGGGCCCACCTGCCTCCCCTTCCAGCGAATGAACAACTGATCCACCATCTCCCCCTTCAGCGGTCACGCTGAGTCCCGTCAGAGTCTGGACTCTGCTTTGCTCTACAGCCCATGGACCTGGAGGAACATCATCCCTGGGGGCCTGAATCTGACTGAAAAGCAGGTGCCACACAGCCCTTACGAGCCTCACGCCACTCAGGCCTCTCTGTGCCATGGGGCCAGTGCAAAAGGGAAAGCTAACCCAAGGGACTGCCAGGCTCCCAGGGAGACAGGGCAGCGGAGAGCCCGGGCTCCATGACTGCTGGGCGCCGCCCCGTCTACCTGTCTGAAGAGCAGCTCCTGGTCGGTGGCCGGGCGTGGGCCTGCCTCCGCCTCCTCCTCGTCACTCTCCACGGGCTCCTGCTTCACCTGCACGCCGGCCGGCGACAGCATCCCCTTGTGGCCGGGGAGCCGGTCCAGGTAGGGCTCCTCCAGAAGAGCCTGGTGCTCCCGGAGCTCCTCCTCCGTCTCCTCTGGGTGGCTCTCAGGTTGCCGGGTCGGCTCACTCGGCTTGGGGATGATCTGCAAGTGGGGGGACAGATGGTGACGGGCGGGGACCCCATGGCCACTGGGGTGTCGGGGGGGTAGGCCAGGGGGCACAGACAGTGGCAGGCGGGGACCCACGGCCACTGAGGTGTAGAGTGGCAGCCGGGCGGCTCTGGGGACGCTTCCATCCCACACTGTGTGGCACTGGGTGAATGCACTTGGCTGCTCACCAGAGCGCGGATTCCCCAGGAGGACCTCAGAAAAAAAGCCTGGCCATTTCCCTCTCAGTAGCCAGCCTGAGCATGGCTCGCAGACGCACGAGTGGGCCCACGCAGGTGAGCAGAGTTGCACACTGGCCAGCCGCAGCTGGGGTCTGACTCCTGCCGGAGCAGCATGTGTTTCCCAGTAGCCCCGGTCCTCAGCAGCACGTGTTTGCCCTCCAGTGCTGGCACTCGGGGGAGGAGTCACTCACGATGGGGTGCCTTAGCCTGTGACACCCTCCTTTCCCGCTGCTACTTGGTCCCCCTGAGGAGGAACCTCTGTGAGCTTGGAGGTGTAGTGGGGCTCCAAACCCCAAGGACATCTTGCTCATGGGCAAATGTAGTGCCAACTCTAGTGACTTGGAAGTGTGCTTTGAGGCCCAGGCCACGGTAACTATGGACGCTTGTGTCGGGGTCTGCTTCCTGAAGACAGGCCTGGCAAATGTCCTTATGAAGCCAAAGAAAGCTACGCAGGTGAGCAGACTGTTCCACACACTCTGCAGCAAGCGCCTCACACGCGTGATGCTTTCCAACTGGACTCATGTTTCTGAGGAGCATGGGGTCTGAGTAGCGCCCCCACGAGAAGGAGGGCTGAGCGGCAACTCCGGGCACATCCCGTCCCTGCAGCGTTTGCCTGAACCCCCCAGCGTCTCCCCTCTGGCACTTTCCCTGACTCGAGGGCAAAGCAGCCCAAGCTGGGCCATGGAGCTACAGGAACACCCGCTGGCTGTGCCAAAGCGCTGGCTGGTCCGCAGACCCACCTCCGGCGCGCAGAGCCCTGCCCCGCAGACCCACCTCGGGTAGGCAGAGCCCCGCCCCGCAGACCCACCTCAGGCAGGCAGAGCCCCGCCCCGCACCCCGCCTCGGGCAGGCAGAGCCCCGCCCCGCAGACCCGCCTCAGGCAGGCAGAGCCCCGCCCCCGCAGCCCCGCC